GACCCAAGAAGCTCCGCCCACCTTATTTGAATAACGAGGCAGAAATGCATAAGGTACAATAAAAACAGGAGACAGAGAAATGTAAAAACACATGAAAAAAATACTTGTAAGAAAAATTATAAAAAATACTTAAATATAAACATTTAAGAGACAAATGCATCTAAAAGTAAAAGGAAAAACAAAGAACGTATATTTTTAAATAATTTAAATTACGTAGTAAAATGCATAATTTATTGGAAAAATAAAAGTGAAGGTCAGTTAAATGATAAAACATGAGGTAAAGTTCTCTTTTTTAATTTAACTGGTGCATTTTAAGTTCTGACATTATGTCAGTTTCAGTCCTCCACACAAAAATACTTTAATTTAGATCATATTTATGAGAGTTGCCCCTACACAAACAAGATTTCAGATTAAAGGCTGGTGGGCGACTGGACTTTCATTCCTGCAGAACTTTCACTAAATATCTGCTCTGTGACTTTGCTGCAGCTGAAAAGGCTTTTTGCAGTTTGTTACATCATTTTAAACATTTTCAATGTCTCCCATCGAGGCCTGCGGGGGTGAACAGCCCTCCAGGCTAAAACGTTTGGTATTCAAACCAAACGTGGGCTGTAAAGTTAGAGAAAATACGTCTCTTTTATCACGCTGTACATCAGAGAATATACTTCTTTAAAAAAATAATAAATCATGAGGTCATTTCAGGAAACGTCTGCGTTTCAGGAGCTGAACAGCCTCAGAGGGTCCGACACCCCGGTGAGAAGATTTCACAGACTGAGACGTTGGTGTGAAGTCAGACTGTTTTTAAAGAAAGCTGCTGAACAGTTTTCTCCTCCAGCTGAGAACCGAGCCGTCCAACAACAGCTCCTCCTTCACAGCTTCCACTTACCCTGTTGGAATGTTTGTTGTTGAGCCGGTGGTCGAGGTTGGCAAACTTTGAAGTGCCCTCCTGCAAAACAAAAACAAGACGTAAGTGTTGTATTTTACCTGATGACCATCAGCTGAGACTCAGAAGAGATAAAACATGAAGAAAACTGCAGACAGGTGTGTCAGGTGCTTACTGGGACACTGTCTTATTTTCATGCCAAAAACTAATCAGATATTTCACATTGAACAGATCCTCATTTTAAAACAGCATGCAGTTTCTTTTTGACCACACAGGGGCAGAAAAACACGTTTTAAAACCCAAACATAAGACAGAAGCTGTGCTGGAACAAAACTAAAAACTCTAACAGAAAATGTGTCTCTGCTGCTGAAGCTCAGACTGAAGATTACATTTAAAGCATGAGCTTTACATTTCAAATTTTACTTGTAGAGCAGCTGTAAAACTCTTAAAAAGATCAGTTAGGGGTGCAATGATGCAGAAAATGCACAATTCGATTCGATACTTTAGTCTCACGGTTCAGTATTTTTTGAAACAAAAAGAGAAATATCCATGCCCTTCTTAACTCGTAATTTATTTAAATTAATTCTGAACATTTGTTTAAACTCAAAAATACAGTTTTTAAATGAAATGTTGCTCAAACAGCAAGTTTCTCAGTGGATCTGTGCTCCACAGTGCAGCCTAGGTGGAGTAGTCGAACACAGATCCACTGATCCTTCAACACAGAGCATCTTCAGAAGACAAGCTGATAAAATAAACTTTAAAAATCTGTACTGATCCATACATAGTGTGTACTGATCCATACATAGTGTGTA